AGAAAGAACAAACATATGATGAAACATATATTAAACTAAATAAGAAAAAATACAAAAATCGGAGGTACTTCAATTTTGCATTTGCATCCTCCCCCTTAACTGTCACGATTTAACAATATTAACATAAATATTATAAATTATTTTTATCATCGTGCTTCTCACATAACGATTAAAAAAAATTGAATATAAATATATATAAATATATATATAATTAAACAGGAATATTTATCTACTTTTTTCCATTATAAGCAATTATAATATAGCATAATATTTGTAAAATAATCGCGAGTGGTGAAACACCTGGATAATTCGAAGATGAAATTTCGTTTTAGTTTGGAAGAGGGGCGGGGGGCGCAAAGTTGGCGCGAGCGGAAATAAGCCCTTCTGGCGTAAACTGAAACCAAAGTTACGTAATGGGGCGACAGGCGTGTGGGTCGCTCCACTTTTATGACTGGAATATTACTCTACTTTGGCTAATCTAAACTTTAGGGTTAATGTAATGTAATTCAACGAAGGCGGTTTACACCTAGCCGGCTAATTTTGTCGCGCGACTGCACTCAACCCGTGATCCTAATAAATACATCCATGGACTTATGTATATTATTACCTTATATGTATAAATGTATGTATATATGTGTATATATATATATATATATATATACATATATATGTTTATTATACGTTTATTTTGTATCTTTTTATTGACAATCTTGACGTGATAAAGATAAAGTTGTACAAAGAGAAAATTATACAAGAGAACAGACTGGTCGAATTAATATTTTAGGTCCTAAATACACTATGCGTTAACTTTTCCAAGTAAACAATACTTAATTAAAAGTTTAATATAATAATGTTTAACAAATTTAAGAATTAATTAACAGATTTCTGTATTTTTTAATTAGCACAACAATTAATTGGACAAATTCACAAAGCGTTGTAATAAATAATTTAACAAATCAGGAGTTTTTATAATGTTTCGTAAAAGTAGAAAATTATTAAAGCAGATTTCGTCACTGTTAAGACTGAGAAATTGAAAATGGGACAATAACTCACCTCGACGATGTAATGAAGACCTGACAGCGTCATCCTCGCTACAGAATCTTTCCTCCGTACTGGTTGTTGCCATCGTCTGAGAGTGACACCCTAGAAATATTTAGAAATATATTTTTGTATCGCAATTTTCTGAAATCTCTAATTTTCTTGTTAGTAAATGTGTGTGTGTGTGTGCGTGTGCGTGTGCGTGTGCGTGTGTGCTGATGAAGGCCGATGGACGCTCGCCTCGATAATCTCGACCTTGACATATTTGTCAACGTCATGACCTTAAGTGACGTCCAACAGATTTTAATCGTCACTCGTTAAAAATTTATTAACAAAAAAAGTTTGAAAAATCTCTTTCTACTATATAAAACAAAAATTTTCTGCTTTAAAATATATCTTACGACTTTTCACGGGAAACGAGATCCGCTTCACCCCTTTGCCTAGAGGCGTAACGACTTTTTATGCGGGTTGATCTTGCTTCACGTAGAAAGTTGAACGCTCCTAAGCAGGGGGGGGGGGTAGTGATGGAAGGGGAATACGGACATCGAGTTGTGAGCAACATCTAAAGGACAGAAATATCTTTCTATTCTCTTCTATCCTCTTTTGGCACATGCGCAGGAAGAAGAAAAGTTACTGAGCAGAACAGACATATATATGGAAATACATCTTTTGTCTCTCAGATGTTGCTCACATCTTTCACTCACTGCTTGGATAGGTTATTCCGCTTTCATTACTGTAAGTTTTATGGGTAGAATGGACCTCGCTTCGCGTGGAAAGCCATTATCTACGCAAAAAAAGATATAGGATAGTTTCTAATATTGTGTGCATGGCAAAAATAAGATATTATTTTTTAAATTTATTTTGTTAATAATTTCTAACGAATAATGAGTGATGGTTAAAATCTATTGTAGATCATTCATGTCAGAGTCACTTTGATAATATATGTTAAAGTCAAGGTCATCGAGACGGACTTAATTCACTGGCATATTTACCTCTTTATTAAATCATTAAAGCGAATTTACGAAATAATCGTTTAATTCTTATCGGTTCTTCTAATCTGGTACAATTATAATATAATAAGTTATAATAGCTTCAAATGACAAATTATTTTCAATTACTAATATTTATTAATGATATACAATATTAATAACTTAATTAATTATTAAATTACATTTTAGTAATTTAATAAATAATTAAGTTATTAAAATTATGTTATTAAAATTAGGGGTTATTAGAATTAGATATATATAAATTTTCAAAAAAATAATTCAGAAATTATACAAAAACAAATGTTTAAAATTGAGTATTTGTGATTGCAAGGAGCATGTCACAAATATATCTAGAACCAATATGATTTTCCTTAATGAATGTTCCTCGTTTAACATTTAATTGATGATAACAAAAATGAAATGATACTCATAAATGTTGCGAACGTTAAACGGAACGCGCCCAAAGTGAATGAGTCTCACCTAATATCTATCTATAGTATAATATATATCTATTCACTTAATCGAATGAAATGACCCACTCTATAAGAGTAAACCGATTAACTCCAAATGAGTGAAAATTCACTTTGGAAATAATGATTTTGTTATTTACTTTTGTTTAAAGTGAAATTTTTACTGTTAAAAATTCAGAGGATACATCTTTATCAAATTAATTTACCTAAACGTTTTCAAATTTTGTCAATATGATTTAACCTACTGATGCAGTCAAACTCCCGGTTATTATCGATTACAATCGCTCATACTATTATAATCGCGACAGAATGTATATTCTCATGGTACAATGCACTTACTTCCGGTGTCTCGGTAGTGTCCGGTACGTCCCGAGTGATGTCCGGATCCGGCGGCCTGTGTTCCGGTACGAGTGCACCGTACTTCCTCGACGCCATACGTCGTCGTCGATCCAGCCATCTCTGCTTCTCTGAGGCTTCCGATTCCTCATCAACCCCGAAGAACTGCGCTGTTTCGCGTCTAATGTAGCTGCAAAATTTAAAAAGATATTGGTACCAATCAAATTCATGTATATGTTATTTTAAATGCAAGTTGTCAATTATGTTAACTGCCACGTTGCTCATATATAAATAATTAACATTCAATTTTATAAAAAAAAGAAGCCAAATACGTTTTTTTTTATAATTTACTTATTTGTCATAAAATATTATTTTAAATTAAAATGTTGTATATGTATAAATGACATATTTAAATAACATTATTTTAAATTAAAATGTTGTATATGTATAAATTACATATGTATATGACATAGTAATCACGGTTAAAGCAACCTTTATTTATTTATTTATTTCTATTTATTTATTAATTATAGAAACATTAATATAATCATAAAATATATGTAATTACTCGTAGAATAAATCAGAATCAAAATAGTTTGGAATAAATAATTTTAATATAACATTTTTGTATGTAATATTTTTTATTTCTACTATTTGAAATAAATTAATACCTAATATTTCTATTAAAAAAATCTTATCTGTCAGAATTGTCAAATAAATCATCTTTTATCAATTCAAGCGAATATTTTCAATGAGAAATAAATTATCTTCTATTAACTTAAGCGAATATTCCCAGAAAGAAATGATCGATAAAATGACATTTATGTCGTCTATGTTAATATTAATCAACATTTCGATCACTCATCAACCAATCAAAAATTTCACTTCTATTGAATATAATAATGCAAATACAAAATTACAAAAATTATTCACATCACTATTTTCATCTTTTACTTAATAAAAATATTAGATCGAAGAGAACTATTAAACGTATTGTATATATTCGCGAGCAATATGCGGTAACACCGCCACCAGATCGACACAGCGAAGTTTTGTTTTTCATAAATAAAAAATCATATAGAAAAAAACTAAAAAAAGCGCAGACTTTATGAGATCTTTTATCTATGTTCTAGCAAAATAATTCTTTGAAAGAATTTTCAAAATAGGGCTCCATGATGAAAGTAAATATATTTCGATTGAGATGTACGGTATGGAAATCTCATTTCCCGAAATGGAAGAACCCTATTGGCCTACAAATCGATTGCCTATAGCATCGGTTGCCTATATCACACTTGCCGATAGATCATTTGCAGATAAAAATTATTGCCTACAACTCGATTGTCTACATGCACTATTGCGCACAAATAAAAATTTTAGAGACATTATTTGTCTACATGCATTATTGTTTATAGATCGATTGTCTACATATATTATTGCCTACAGCTTGATTGTTTACATGTATTTTTGCGCACAAATAAAAACTTCAGAAACAAAGTCACATTTGCCTACTTATTAATTATGCGTACATAATGTACAAATAGATTCCAAATAAAAGCAAAAACAATTATTTAATAAAAATATCATTATATATTTGTGATAATCTTGAAATTGTTGAGAGGGTCCTCGTGAAGCACCTCACCATTTGTCCCTGAGCACGCGAAATGTCAGTTTTGATGTGATTAGAAATTTTTATAATTATGTTATTAATTTGAAAACTATTATAGCCTCAACATTTTAATATTAAAACTTCTGTCTCGAAATAATTGCAGGAATCCGCTATTAACGAGTGATAAGCAAGGTCTGGGATGCTCTATATAATGGAAACCTAAGTTAAGACATATTATTTTGTATAATTAGTATTTAAATATTATGTGGAAAAAATTAACTTTTTTCAATCATGAAAATAATTAGACATGTAGAAATCAGGCGCGATATTGATACGCAAAGAAATAATAATACAGTTAATTAAATAATATTTAATCTAAATATAAAAGTAAATAAATTATAATAATATGTTTCGGCTCAAATTCTCTGCTTTAAAACGCAAATTCTTTAAACCTCACTTCTTTCCTTGTATTATGTTCAGTTTTTCATATCATATTATTAGTATACTTCCACCCTATCTTACCTTGTGTGAAAATGGGAATGTCTATTGTCTAACACTACCGATATTTTAAGTATCAATATTTTTCAATCGATATCTGATATTTTTCATCGATATTTTCGTTTCGATAATTCCGACATATCGATACTTTTCGTACGTATCGATATGTCGAGACTTTTGATGCTATTGACTCGAATTGGTAGCCATCTTGAGAATGTCGATTTTGAGTTTCGAGGTTTGAGTTACCGAATAATGTGGAACTTTTTCGAGACGAGTCGTTGAAAACAGTGCTGCATTGTTATGCCTAATTCAGACTGGACGCAGCAAGCGTCAGTGAGGCAATTTTACAGTGGCGTAAAAAATATCATCTTGCTGATTGGTTGCTGCTC